TAAATGCGGTCGTTACGTTCTCTTCCAGGACGTAACATGGATATAACGGAATTTTTACTCCTTTTATCCCTTTAGGGTATTTGACTTGCGTAAGTTTCCTTGCGCGAGTTCCCATTCACGATTTTTTATAAATATTACAAAATATGTTCAATAATGTTTCCATTTTCTTGGATACATAATGCGATTCTTCGCTTAAAATGGCTAACAGTCTCAATTAACAGCCTGTGGTATGTTTGTAAAAGCAATTTTTATTCTCTGAGTCATGTTTTCTCGAGTTGTGGGTTTCCGTTCGTACACGACATTTTTTAAATTATTTCGTAAATAAAAATTGGATGATGTCAAGTTAGGAGATCGCACTGGCTACTGTTGTACTTCATCCGATCCCTATGCTTTTGTATGCTGTATTTAGATAATTTCTTAAAATTCTCGCATAATGTGGTGCCCCATCTAATTGAATTCACATTCTAAGTTTTGTGTACAAATTAACATTTTCAAATAATCATCGTTTATTTTTTAGAAAGGCTAAAAAGTTCTGACCGTTTACTTTACCATCGAAGATGGATCAATCAAGTAGCCGTTAATAATATCGCAACGCATGTTATTGGGTTGCCCGAAAAGTAATTGCCGATGGCTCCAATAGATGGCTTTAAGCGTCTGTTCGAATGTCTTCTGTCAATGTTATAATTTTTTTCTTTTGACGTTTGTTAGCTGTCACTCTTAGTTAACTATAGAAGCAAATTACACGTGTTTTTGTTACAAATTGTTAGTTTGGCGTCAGTTTTAGTATGGAGTCTAATAACAAGCATTTTCGTCATATTTTACTTTTTTATTTCCGCAAAGGAAAAAACGCAGCGCAGGCTGCTAAAAAGTTACGTGACGTATATGGCGAGGAAGCCTTAAAAGAAAGACAGTGCCGCAATTGGTTTGATAAGTTCCGTTCTGGAGATTTTTCACTCAAAGATGAGCAACGTTCAGGTCAGCCATTGCAAGCTGATGATGACCAAATCAAAGCCATAATTGAGTTGGATCGTCATATATCTGAGCGGGAGATTGGAGAGAAATTGAAAATACCAAAATCAACAATCCACGATCATATAAAACGTCTTGAATTGGTTAAAAAGCTTGATATTTGGGTACCACATGAATTGAAAGAAATTTATTTAACAAAGCGTATCAATGCTTGCGATTCTCATCTAAAACGCAATGAATTTGANTTGAAAGAAATTCATTTAACAAAACGTATCAATGCTTGCGATTCTCATCTAAAACGCAATGAATTTGATCCTTTTTTGAATCGAATAATTACTGGTGATGAAAAATGGATTGTTTACGATAATATTAAGCGAAAACGTTCATGGTCCAAACGTGATGAGCCACCACAAACCACCCCGAAAGCTGACATTCACCAAAAGAAGATTTTGCTATCAATTTCGTGGGATTGGAAGGGTGCGGTATTTTTTGAGCTCCTTCCAAGGAACCGAACCATCAATACGGATGTCTACTGTCAGCAACTGGACAAACTGAATGCAGCGATTAAAGAAAAACGGCCAGAATTGGTCAATCGTAAGGGCGTCATCTTCCACCAGGACAACGCTAGGCCACACACATCTTTGGTCACTCGCCAAAAATTAATGGAGCTTGGTTGGGAATTGATGTTACATCCACCATATAGCCCTGACATTGCGCCGTCAGATTACTATTTATTTCGATCCTTGCAGAACTACTTGGATGGTAAAACTTTTAAGGATGATGAAGCTGTGAAATCGCACTTGGATCAATTATTTGCCGATAAAAACCAGAAGTTCTACGAACGTGGAATTATGAAGTTGCCAGAAAGATGGTCATCGAACAAAATGGAAAATATGTCAGTGATTAAAGTTCATTCTATGCACAAAAAAAATTATATTTTATTTCTATGAAAAAATCGGCAATTACTTTTCGGGCAACCCAATACTATTCCAGTAATGTCGATTATCTATTTGTCTGTGCCAACGAGAATTAACATCCGGCAAATATTGACAATTATGTCTGTCTAGTTGTCCACTGCTTTCAAATGTTGCTTCATCACATAACATTACATAATAACAAGAAGAACTAGATCATTTCTAATCATTTGTTAGGCCTATCGGCAAAACTGTAAGCGTATCCTCATATGATTTGATATAATAGATTGTGTTAACGTTATGTGATATCGTAATATCCGCGGTTTTTTAAAATTCTTAGGACAGTAGTTTTAGATATATCTGTTTGTCTCTTAATTTGATAGCTACTAATATGAGGATTGAAATAAACTGCCGTTAAAACAATCAATATATATATATATCGTTTTCATCATACCCATGGCTATGTCTCCTATGTACCAAGTTACTCTGCTGAGCTTTTAAATAAATGTTTTAAATAACACGGTAGTGCGGAGAGGGCCGGTAACACCCGACGGAGACTGTGACCGCACAGCCTCATAGAGAGTAAAAAAATTAGTG